GGAGTAGAACAAGAAGGAAGTTATTGCCCTTTTCCCTTGAATCTTAAGCTGTGGTCATCAGATGAGATCTGTGACTCCTGATAACTTTTTTCTAGGTGAACGTCTATTTCCTCTCATTCAAAGCATGCACCCTACTCTGGCGGGTAAGATCACTGGTATGCTGTTGGAGATTGACAACTCTGAACTCCTTCACATGCTCGAGTCTCCTGAATCTCTTCGTTCGAAGGTGGGTGAGCCTTTGCCTCCTGCTAATTTCATAAGCAATTAAATCTCCTCTGATTGAACGGGTGTTTGTGCTGGCATGGTGGAGTAGTGGCAATGCAACATTGGCCTGGGGTGACAAGTTAGAATATTCTGTGACTTATGTTAGCATGAACTGGAACTAATGTTATCCATTTATTGTTAATGATACAGGTATTGCTTGCAAGTATAATTTAAACCACTTCATAAACTTAAAAATAATTAAGCTTCCATCTTAATTATTATTTTTTTTACTTCACAGGTTGATGAAGCTGTAGCCGTACTACAAGCCCACCAAGCTAAAGAGGCTGCTCAAAAGGCAGTTAATAACCCCACTGGGGTTCCAAGTGTTTAATAAGTAAGTTTTCTGAGGAATGCAGCTTTATAGGGTGAGTAGGGCAACAGTCCCTAGTCCATGGCCTTACAAGCAGTGTTTACAGGCTCAGTATCATTTGCAGCCAGCAGAAAGTAGGAGCTGTGGTCATGGTGGTAGGATATTTTTATACTTCATCGTGCATATTTAACTGGAATTAAAGCATTGTTTCGAACAGCATATTTAGCTGGTACTGCTTTTGGGCATGCCTGCAAAAGGGAGAAGTTCTGTCAAACGTTGCTGTTCATATTGCTCAAGAGGAACTTTTGCAAATTGTGGGGGAAGTAAGCTTAAATGATACTAAGCCCTACTGTTCCTTACATGTTCCTTAATGGCAGTTAAAATATTGATTATCCTGATTACATTTTCTGAGTGGTTAATAGCTTAAATTTGCATGATGGGAAGAGGCAAAAGGTACTACATTTACCATTTCAAAAGTGAAAAAATGTGGAGTTGGGGATAATGTAGGTGTCTATTCCCCTTTCCTTTCAGTTAGGTTTTGCCTGTATGTGAACTTATCACACTTAAAACTATCAGCTGAAAAGGCCTGCTTTTAAATTTGATCACTTAAAATCTTCATCTTTCTTGGTCTCCTTTCTGCAGGCAGGAAATGGTCTTTTGGAGGCAGAATGAGTCATGCTGCTTTTTTCCTTTTTTGCTCATGACGCTTTCACACTGGAGATTAAAAAGTGTTGAATGGTTGTCTGGCCTAAACTAAGCTGCCCAAACTTAGAGAACATTACTCCTTGTGTTCATGATGCTTTAGTAATTGGAATTTGAAAATGCTCTAATTGTTCGAGCTGACCTTAGAGTAGAGGTCTCTGTTCTGCAATCAGGTTACAGTAACAAAGTCTCGTGCCCAGCCCTTGTCCAAGGCAGAGTTTTGTTTAGTTCTAGACTTCGTTCTACCTTGCAAATGATTGCAGCCTTGAGGAACTTAAATATCTCTAAAAAGTGGGTTATCTGCCTCTATGATACCCTGCTTGTAAAGAACTTTGGCATGGTCAATACTGTGAAAGTACAAAGTATTATCAAGCTTACAGTTGCAGAAAGCCAGGTGCTGCTTTAAGTTGAATACCTAACAGCATTGTTTTTGTTTACAGAAAGATCTGGGAACTACAATCTAGAACTTCGCTTCACCGAAGAAAAAAAAAATCTAAACATGGAAAAACTATTAAATATTGAGAAAAACATTGCAAAATATAAAATAAATAAAAAAAGGAAAGGAAACTTTGAAGCTTATGTACAGAGCAATGCCGGGGCTAGTAAAACAAGTGCTAGTCCTAGATTACTTATTGATTTAAAATTAAAAAAAAATAGTAAAATAAAAAATACAAATTAATGTTTTATAAACCCGGGGGAAAAAGAATTTTCAGCACAGTAAAAAAAAAAAAAAATTTAAAGCATTCCTTTCTTTAATTTTGTAATTCTTTACTGTGGAAAAGCTCAGAGTATCACCACTGTTTTAGTTGACAGTGAGAATTGATAGCTGAGCAAAGAAACGTAATTTGGATTATAAAATTCTTGGTTTAATAAAAATTCCTTAAACACTGATTTACTTGTCATAGTTTTTTGTACGGTGTCCTTCTGATAAGGTAGTGTTTCAGAATACCAAGTTAGAATCCACCTTGAGTATGTTTTAGCAGTTTGGCAGATTAGCCTCCATTTAGCCACCTGTTACTGGTAATAAAAACTTAAGCTTTAAACAAAAAGAGCGGCTAGATCCACATCTGGGTTTAAAATCCTTCATAGTATGGTGTCTGGGCTCTTGTCAGTGTATAAATAGAAGTAGCCCTTTAAAATATTGTACCTTGGTGGAAGGAAGACTCCGCATACAGGTTTCCTGCTGTGTCTTTGTAATTAACACTGAACATGGCAATAACATCACTGTGGCTGAGGTGGAGGCAGAGCAGTGTGGATACAGGTGAATGAACAAGAATTGTCTGCAACAGTGTTGTGAGATTGTTACTGTGAAGGTACAAACACAAGGCTTCCTAGAACAATAAGGTTCAAGTGGCAATGTATTAAGTGCATATTAACCAAAAGATAAACACCGTAAAAGTCCTGTGGATAGAACTGCTTAATCTTGCCTTGAAATTGCTAATGTTGTGTTCCTTAACACAAGTGAAAGGCTACTGGTTAATTTTAGCTTTGCTGCATTTTGCTTTTTTTTGAATATGGTGAACAAATCCTTCGCCAAAGGCAACTTCAACAGCTAGCAAAAGATCTTTTCATTAACTTTTGGTACAGTGAGCTTACACAAAATTTGAATCCGATGTGTCTTGTAAAAGGTTATCTTCTTGGTTCATCCTTACAATTTTAAAAATTGAATGGAAAGGGTATATTGGTTACATTGGTCTCAATCTGATCTGCTGTATAATAGCAAAGAAAGAAAGGGGTCTCCAGGTGGAGGCCAGTTGCTGATGGTATCCCCCAGGACTCAGCACTGGAGCCAGTTCTCTTCAATATCTGTACCGTCACCTGGATGAGGGGATTGAGTGCACCCTCAGTCAGTTTGCAGATGACAGCAAGTTGGGCAGGTGTTGATCTGCTCGATGGTAGGAGGGTGCTGGATCAGTGGGCTGAGGCCAACAGTGTGAGGTCCAGCAAGGCTGAGTGCCAGGTCCTGCACCTGGGGCACAGCGACCCCATGCAGTGCTACGGGGGGAGCAGCTGTTGGAAAGCTGCCTGCTGGAAAGGGACCTGGGGGTTGATACCAGCTGAATATGAGCCAGCAGTGTGCTCAGGTGGCCACGAAGGCCAACAGCATCCTGGCTTGTATCAGAAATAGTGTGGCCAGCAGGGCTAGAGCAGTGATCGTCCCCCTGTGGTCAGCTCTGGTGAGACCACACCTCAAATACTGTGTTCAGTTTTGGGCCCCTCACTACAGGAAGGACATTGAGGTGCTTGAGCGTGTCCAGAGGACAAGAAAGCTGGTGAAGGGTCTAGAAAGCGAGTACAATGAGGAGCTGTTGAGGGAGCCGGGGTTGTTTAGCTTGGAGAAAAGGAGGCTCAGGTGAGACCTTATTGCACTCTACAATTACCTTAAAGGAGGCTGTAGTGAGGTGGGGGCTGGTCTCTTCTCCCAAGCACCAGGTGATAAGAGGAAATGGCCTCGAGTTGCGCCAGGGGAGGTTTGGGGTGGATGTCAGGAGAAATTTCTTCACTGAAATGGTTGTGAAGTACTGGAACAGGCTGCCCAGGGAAGTGGTTGTCACCATCCCTGGAGGTTTTCAGAAAACTTCTAGGGCTTTGTGATATGGTTTAATGGTGGATTTGCAGTGCTAGGTTAAAGGTTAGACCAGATCTTAGAGACCTTTCCCAACCTGATTCCAAACCCAAATGATTTGGTTATTCTATAATCACTTGGCCTGATGGGACCTACAGTTCAGCCTGTGTGTTGTACACCAAAAATGTCTAAGTAACCAAATATGGCATAACCAAACATGGCAAAACTGAAGAAAAATACTAGTTTGTGAGCTGCCTCTAACCTTACTGAGGTCAAGAATTTTGCAAGAAGTTGATTTGTGATCAGCCGCCTAGGGAGGGACTAACAAAAGGTTTTGATAAACTTCTTTCGTGCTGTAAGTTAACAGATAGTTGAAGTTGTCCATCTGCAGATGGGTTACCCTACAGCTGCTGCCCGCTTTCTTTCCCCTACCTTTAAGGCTGTAGTTACTGCGAATTTGCAGAATGAGAGGCGTTTTCTACCCAGTTGTGTCCTTTGTCAGTTCTGCAGAAGCGATAAAGCAGGGGGAGAAAGGAAGTAGCGAAGTTGGCATCTTTGTCTTAAAAAGATCTACCCGGGGAGGAGAGCATGGTCCTTAAACGCTGCAGCCCACTGGGTTCCAGTGACTGTGTTCCCAGGATATGATTTCTGCAGAGTCACAGGAGGGGTTACAGTGAGTTCATTGCAGAATGCTATCTGAAGGCTGCGTTTTATGGAGGCGTAGGAGGGAGGCCGGTGTTTTCTGGACCTATTGCTGTAATCTCAAAGCCCTACAGCGTGCTTTCTGATGTCATTGTGTGCATCCGGTCCCCACACCCCCAAAAAAATAAATCGAAAAGTTAGACTTTATTTTTCCACTAGTTCAGAGAACTTCAGACTGGATTTTTTTTTTTTCCTGTTAAGTGAATCTGAGAAATAAACATAGCACAGAGAGGTGGTCTGGCATAAATGGATCCTTTACCTCCCACTTCACTACAGGAGTGTTACAATTCTGATGTTCGCTCCTGTCCTGATGGAGGCAGACGGGGTTACCCTTTAGTTTGCAGTCTTGCTGCAGTGTGGGACTGCAAATCATAATTTTTGAAATTGGATGGTAAATCCCACAAAGGGAAGCAGTTCAAACAAGGTGCGTGTATGATAAGAGGTTGAATGCACAACTTTATGTGATATCAACTATAAAAAACATTAAAGCTTTGGAGATGGTTTGAAAAATTAAAAATCCTTAACACCATAACAAGTGTTGGAGAATTGCATTTTAAAGGTGGACCTGGAGACCAGACTATTTGCAGTTTAAGGGCCCTAGCAAGAAACTTTAGAGCCCACCTCAGTTTCCCCAGATAAGAGGTAATGTGACTTCAGTGAGTCTGCAGGAGTAAAACCAAACTACTTCTTGTATTTTGTAAGAAAGTGCAAGTTATTTAACCTTTTGCATGTGGGGAAAGGGAAAAAGGAGGAAAAGAGGAGTTCCTTCAGCTTTGCGTCAGTCTTCTGTGGGTGTGTCAAGCACCAGCATCTGTACCAGCCTGAAATACGAGGTAGTTTCTGTAACAGAAGGAAATAGTGAGGCAATTCTGCTGAGGTTATGAAGACTTAAGGAAATGAAACCCTGTGTCTGTTAGGTTTTTCATCCTGCTCTTGACTACATGGCAACTCCTCACTGTATATCACAGACATTTAATCGATGTCTTCTATTTGATCTACATTTTTTTTGGTCTTAGAGATAGTGAACTATGTTTTGTTAGCGTCCCTATCACTGTTTCATTGGAGTACTGCTGTTAAATTTAAACAATTCACCCCACAGACAAGTCAATTTACTCGGCAGAGGTAGAACATTGTTTTTCCCTTGGGTTAAAGGCAGCCTAATAGGCAGTCACGTCCTGCCACACATTCCCTCCTAGCACGTCTCAGAGGCTTATGCTGATCCTCCGCAGCCCTGCAACTGCTCAGCCCTAAGCTGATTTTGCTGAACCCTCTGGTATTTCATTCCTTCGTTCCTTCTCCCTCTTCCATTCTCTGCCCACAGCAAACACTTCAGAATTTAGCAGCGGCCAAAAGCCTGGTCTTGAAATGAATGGTGATTTGAGTGAATGAATGCTGTATTCACCCTCAGCCCTCCCAAGCAGGCCGTGTCTTTGTGTGCAGCTAAATCCAAGGTTTGGTACAGAGGCGATTTGGATTGCACACATCGTCTTTGCTGCTCTGGAGAAGGCCAGGAAATTTGGATTTCATTGGGTGCTGGGGTACGTGTCCTCCTAAGAGGACAAAGTGGTGGAAATCAAGATGTTCCTGTGTCAGGCAGTGTTAGAGTTGCCTGATCGCATTGGTTATGGGCTTGCTCTTGAAAAACTAAACAAGTGAGATCTTCAGTCCTTCTACTTCTATGCACATCCTTCTCAGCAGCATTGTTAATAATTGCTGTGGACAACATAACATGGAAAGATGGTCACTTACTGGTTTGGACTAGGACTCCTATCAAAAGGGCTTTCTGAATTCTTCATCTAATAGACATGTTTCTGCTTCGAATAACTTGGATAATTTGTGGGGTGAGGAGGGTGGTGTATTGCAGAGTTATTGTCCAACCTGATGCGTTTAAGGGAGCCTGCAGAGAGTTCTGTCCTTAGGGCCACAATTCACTGAGCTGTTGGAGGCATGGGGCGAGGCTCTCCATCACCAGCAGTTCTGACCATGCTACTTGGGATTTAGCAAGAAGCTCCGTTTCTGTGAGTGATCTTTCCACCGGAGTTGCTGAAAGTGCTTCAGGTCTTTGCTGGAGTATCAAAGTTCATGCTGACTTAAAAAGAAGCTAGCAAAGGGAGTTGGTCTAGATACAGGACCTCTCCCTTTTCACATCAAGACTGAGGAAATCCTTCTACATGTTACTCCCACTGGCTGGCAATTTTCACCTGGGATCCTGTCTCTTCTGAGCCCTGTTTCTCACTGCCTCCCTTCCTCACAGTTTTTACAGTTTTTAGTTTTTTCCTCATTTGAGGATTTCCTCAAGGAGGAACGCATCAAAAAAAAAAAAAATCACCAAAAAAACAATTCCTCAACAAGGCAGGCAGAGGCTTCAGCACACCAGCAGCATGACCACCATCACTTGGGAATTGGTCCATACACTACAACTACATGAAGGAAAGCTTTTAGTCCATCTTACCTTCTGTAGGATGTGGTTGATAAGGACAGATGTGAGTTGTACCCAAATGAAAATGCAGCTGGCAGGGCTACAAGTCCTTAGGATGCAGCAGTGAATACAATTTTGAAACAAATGTTCTTGGCTACACTAAGAACACAAGGTACATGTACAGTCAAAGCACCCTTTCAAGGAGCTGGGCAACAACAAAGGAAAGAATATTTTCCAAAAATAAAATAATTTGAAACATTTCTTAGATTTGTCACTTATTGAATTGGGATTGAATGTAATCATTAAGAAAAAAAAAAGGAAGTGATAAGCTTGGCCAGCCTAATGGGCTCGTTGCACATTATGTACTAAGAGTAGTGTGTCTGTGCCAAATAGTCTCCTGCTCCCCACGTAACCTGCTAAAGAAACATCCCTAATCAAGTCACAGTCCAGCTGGCTCAAGCTGCCCAGAGATACACACTTTTTGATAGCTCTGAGCATAGTTTAAAGTGCTCCATGTCATGCCTGAACACTCAGAAAACAAAAGAGATGCCCTGGGCAGGTTAGCTGGTGGTGTCACATTGCATTGATAAGGATTACACACAGTCTAGGTTAAATCTGAAGTCAATATCAAAAGTGGGCCTGAACATGTTGCATTGTCACACCTGTAAGCAGAAGCTTGCTTCATCCTGTCTCTTGCCTCTGTTAGAGAGATTTGCCACCAAAGTTGGTTTCCTCTCCTGTGGTTTTCCAGAAAGGGACCAAACTCATGCAGATGGGAAGAGACAACTGACCTAGAATGACAGCAGAAGGGAAAACACCAGCCTATGGCCTGGTGCATAAATCTTTCCTCTGTCTGCCTACACCTTACATCTTTCCATCCAACTCCTTACACAGCTACCTTACCTCCTAGGTAGAGCTATGGATTTCCAGAGTGATTTGGGATGTGAATGAGGATGCATGCAGGGAGGGGAAGGAAAACTCTGCCTGAAATCCTTGGGGTGCAGGTGCCTCACCTCCAGGTCCAACGGGGCGGCTGTGACACTGGGATCCACGAGGCTGGCTCTGTCAGAGGGCGTTGTGTGGGTGCTCCCGAAGCTGTCAGACTGGTTAGATTCGGCTGCACAGGTGAAGGAGAAAAACAAATCGAGTTATCAAACATGTTACACAATGCTGTTTGCCTTACTCTTCTCCATTTTCCCTACAATTTCCACAGTTTGTTCTACTTCGTGAAAAACACTTACAAAACCTTGTTCCACTGGGAAGGGGTTTTCCTCAGGTCATCAGATGAATCATAGCCTTTCCAAAACATATTTTTTTTTCCCTCTTACAGAGAGCTTTTTGGTGAAACCAAAGCACTGTGTGCCAATTAGCAGGAGCAGGGTTTCAGCTGTGTTACCACCGTGTTGATTAACTCGTTCTGTGTCTCCAGGAGCGCTGCTTGCGTAAGGCTATGAGCGCTTCCACTCACGCACAAAGTCCTGGCTGTGACGGTGCCTTTTCCTCAGTAGTACCAGAAATTCGCAGAAGAGGAGTTAGGAAATAGGGCGAGCGAAGCTTGCCTTTATCCCTAATGTAATTAGCGATAGACAAAACGTCCCAGGGCAGAGCTGAGCCTGCTTCTCACCCTGTGACGCCTTTGGCCTCAGGTTTCCAGGCCCCGTGACGGGCGTGGGCGCAGCTCTCCCCGTGAGCACTGCCCCACGCTCATTACCCACGCTCGTTAACCTTTAATTTCACCCCAGCTTCACCCTTAGCCCTCCCAAGGCCCTGCTGGGCGGCACCAGCCCTGCTCTTCAGCTCGTGCTCCCTCCTGAAGCCAAGCCAGGGCCTGCCCCGGCCATGAAGCTGCACTTCAGCATCCCCGCTGCTGAGGAGCTGCGGGAGGGGCATGGGGGCCGCTATGTGGTGGGCTTGGGGTCAGGGTGGGTGTGTGGATGGGTGGTGGGGGGCTCGGTGGTGGCTCTGACAGCTCTGTGCTTGCAGCTCTACTCCCTGTTCCTGGAGGGCTTCCTGCTCGGCAAGGCTCGGTACCGCCAGCTGCGCCGCTGGGACGAGCAGGTGAGGGCTGGGATTCAGCCTTTTCCCCTCAGCCTCCTTCCCCGGACACTGCTCCCACTGAGAAAAGTGGCTGGGGAAATCCCAAAGGTGGGATCTTTCCACCCAAAGTGCTCCCACACACCCCTTGGAGGTGGCCCTGTCCTGTGTAAGGGCAGCCCCGGTAGCAGCAGGGGTTGCTGCATGATCCCATGGGTTATTTCCAGGTGAGTCCACATGATGATGTCTCTGCTGGTGTTTTGTTTCTTCTCCCTTTGGCCTCAGTCCCTTTCCCCTCCATTTTCCCTCTGGTGTTGTTAGGAGGAGCAAAGAGCACATGACATCGAGCACATCCCTGTGCTAACCCGATCCCTCTAGCCTTTGCCAGCCCTTGGCAAAATCCTCCAAGTGCAATGCCTCCCGCTTCAGCTTTTTGTTTGTTTGTGTTTTTTTTTGTGTTTTTTTTTTTGTTTGTTTTTTTTTTTCTTTAAGGTTTACCACTTCTTGCTCAAGGTTTGAGCTTCATTAATGCTTTCAGCAAAATCTTCCCCTTCTCTTTGTCCCCTGTAACTGACCATTTACCTTCATGAAGGACTTTATAACTCCTTAGCAAGCTTTTATTTTTAATTTGTTCAAGCCTGCTGTTGGTAGCTGCCACACTTCGTCTTGGGGCTTGGCAGTGCACTTCTGTCCCTTAATTGTCCGCACTGTAGTTATGTCAGGTTGCTTGTTTATAGTCATTATGTCCTTTTCTCCTTATTTTAACTGAAATACTCTGCTAAGGTAGAACAATACACACATACAGGACTTCTTAAGCTCCAGGACAGGGTAATTCAGCTGCCTGACCAGATCACACATAGTGGACACAAAGCCTCAATTCTGTGATGGATGCAGGACACAAATCAGCTTTTCTTGTGGACAGATTTCTTTATGATTATACCTGATAATATTTCTTGAATGCTTCTCTGAAGGGTTTGTCTCTGGCCTCTGTTGGATGTACAAAATCAGAAACCTATATATTTCTTTTTTCCTGATGTTGTGCCTTACCTGTCCCTTTTCTCTTTCTGTGCCTTTGCCTCCCCTCTATCCCTTTTTTATATTGTGGGTGTGTATTTGGCATTCCCAAACCCTGTTCCTTGCTGCCTCCCAGGGCAGTTGCTCTCTACAAAAGGACTGCCTGAAGGGAGCGATGTTGAGGAATCGGTAGTAGATGGCACAGCATAACAGGGCACGTGAGGCTCTGGATGCACTGCTGAATGGGGAGGTGCAGCTACGCAGAGTCTGGGCCACATTTCCTTACCCCAAGGTGAGGTGCCTTATTGCCAGAGGGGATTCACAGCCCTAAGCACAGTGCCTGAGGTGAGTGGTATACAGAGAGGTGTGAACAACCAGGACTGATATCCTAAAAGCTTGGGCATTTGGTTGTGGGAAACCCAGGGTTGTTCCCTCCTCTGTCTGAACTCAGGTGTTAAATGCTAGCAGTAGGAAGGAAAACAGGAGGGCCAGGCTCCCTGTGCCAGGACAAATGCCATACCTGTTAGGCAGCCTTCCCTCCTGTTTGCTTTTGCTAAGCCAGGACCTGCGCAGCTGCTCTCTGCCAGTGACTTCAGCAGGAGTGGCAGCATCGGGCACACCTGACACTAAGTCCCTTTGAGAGCTTGACAGCTTCTAAATATCTTCATGTATACCTTTGGTTGAGACATGTTTTAAGCATTTTTAATCTTAGAACAGTGTGTATTATTTTTTCTTATTTTTTATATTTAATCAGATAACTGAGAAGGCAATGCCCAGAGCCCTGCTCACTCTGTACATAATCCATCTGTGACAGCTTTACAGTCTGTGTTGCTGTTTTCCTGGGTTAGCAGTTTTGTTTCTGGAGCTCTGTCTGGCTTGGGCATCAGCACACCGATGATGGAGTGTGGTCCTGGGTGAAAGGACTCGTCCGTACAGCATAGGCAGAACCTGTCCCAAAAGCAAGCTGATGGGATTAGGCCAAGCAAGAGGTGATTAATTCAATTACACTTTAAAACTGATGATGCCTCCTGCTGAGGAGGGAATAATTTATTGCAGAAAGATGAAAAAGAAACAGCACCAACTATAGCACATCTTTAAAAGATAATCTTTCCAAAAAGGGGAGTAAAGATGTCGTACTTAGGGAAGCTGCTCTGTCTGTGGCTCTTTGATGTGGAAGTTGTGGAGGAAGAACAAATACCTCCTCTACAAGGCTGGAGCATCCTACCTGGGCTCCCAGGACAGCAAAAATCAAGCTGCTTGTTGTGGTCCTGTGGGCTTTCTTGCCCTGTGGTAGGGAGCTGGCAGTGGGGCTGTGCCCAGCACTGGGCAGTGAGGCAGGATCAGCTCAGGCTGCTGCTGTACAGCAGTGGCAGGAGACGTACACGATGCCTGCAAAGGAGTTACTTGGCCAGAGATATAAGGAAGGTGAAGAATGAGAGATCTCCCCCTGGACAGCTTGTGGGCAGGAGGACTTGGAAGCATGTGGCTGGTTGAGTAGGTCCAGCTAAGAGACATCTGCAGTGTGCAGGGCGCCCTGGCACAGGGTTTAGACGTGCAATTTGTGTTGGGTGGCTTTAGGATGGAGAAATAAACCCAGAGCCTTAAGGAAGAATGGTGGGAAGCAGATTTGGGGGAGGAGGATCTGACTGGCAGGGCAGCAATGTGCAGGCTGTTGGTGCCTGGAACCACCAGGTGTGATGTCCTCTGCCCCAAGTTGTGCCAGGGGAGGTTTAGGTTGGAAATGAGGAGACATTTCTGTCAGAAAGAGCAGTCAGACATTTAGGACGGGTTGCCCAGGGAGGCAGTGGAGTCACCGTCCCTGGGGGTGTTCAAGGTGAGGTTGGACGTGGTGCTTGGGGACATGGTTCAGTGGGTGACACTGGTGGTAGGGAGATGGTTGGACCAGGTGATCTTGGTGATCTTCCAACCTTAATGATTCAGTGATTCTATGTTGGTGATGGCTTGCATGTGAAATGTAGCCTGGGCTGTTGAGTCTGTGCAAACTTCAGAATTCAGGGGCATGTTTCTGTAGCTCCTTGCCATATGAAAAGGTCTAATTGGCAGGGAGAAGCTTCTCTTCTCTGTAGCCCTGATCCTGAGGACACAACTGTATTTCAACAAATTTGCCAAGCAGCCAGCACTGAGATGAATTTTATTATTATTTTTTATTAAAAAAAAAAAAAAAAAAGTAGGCCAGAGTCTTGGCTTGTGCAGAGGGGTGATAACAGACAGTGCAGCTTTGCAGGTGAGGCATGGCCTGCACGCAGAGGGAGGAGAGAGGACCTCCTGGTAGTGACTGTGGCTCCAGCTCTTTAGCTTCTGGAAAATTTCTTGCTCTGTCTCCTCACTTTGCCTGCCTGTGGAACAGAGATAATATTTTTCACTCCTGGGTGAAGATCGCATATGTGAAGGACTCTGAAGATGAAAAGCACCCTATAGCAGCTATTACTGTTAGCTTCCCATAAAGCCAAAGCATGTATTGCTATCTAACTCTTTTGTGCTGTGTAACTTGGAGCAATTCAGGCCTATCTAGTAATCAAGAACTCAAACAGCAACGTGTTGCCAGTGTAGGGAAAGTGGCGCTGTGAGGGTATGCCTGACTCCTCTTTCTATCTGCCAAGTGGGAGAAGGTATTGCTAATTTTTCACGAGCAAACATTTTTTTTTTCTTCTCCAAGCTTCAGCTGCTGGAGTCATGTGAAAGACTTGGGCAGCTGGGCCCGGAGGAAGAAGCCAGCTCGCAGGATTTAGTGACACTGACCGCTGAGCTGAATACTGGTGCTGAAAACTTAATTAGTAGTAATGTCTCCGCATGCTATAGGAGTGTCAGCTTACTGATCGGATGCCAGATGGTTTTGATTTAGGCGAAGGAAGGTTTCCAGACAGGCTAACTGATTCTTGTTGTGTTTAGTAATGTGCATATTGGGAAAGTAAGCAGAGCGTCTTTGTGTCTTGAGGTAATTTGCCTAAACAAAATATTAGAAGTTTGACGGTACTGTCAAAGTGAAACTCAACATCAAGCAGAGTTTAGCGTCATTTAGCTTGAAAATACAATAAATAAATTAAAAATTAAAAAAAAAAAAGCATGCTTGATGTGAACTTGCTGCCAATTACAATACTGTAATTGTGATTTTGCAGTCCTTTCAGGTCTGCTTATAAATGAAGTAGCTTTGTACAGACATTATACTCTTATTAGCCAGCTAATGTAGGTGGAGGAAGAGTCAATCTTTCAAATAGTTTGTGTTTCTGAAAGATTATCTGTTTCATTGACAATATTATGTGATCTGGTGAAAGATACTGCTCACTAGCAAAATAATAAAAGCCTCTGAGGTAGAAGAAGTCACCAACTTTTTTTTTTTTTTTTTTTTTAATGAAGTTTTTAACCCGTAGTTCTGTGATAGGTTAAAGAAATCCCGTACGGACTTATTGAAAAGAGAAGACCTCTGCAACCTTATTGTGTTTGCCAATGAGGTGTAGCAGACCTAGCTGATAAGGTTCATACAATGCTACTTTTCTGACTTCAAGCAGGAGCTCCGAAGGAAGTGGTAAGGCTCAAAATGAGACACCCATCACTCTCCTGGGCTTGTCTTCAGTTGTCTGCTC